TGTCGTGGCGATGATAGCGCAGGCGCACGCGTGGACGCGGACGCAGGCGCAGAACAGCGAGCAGTTTGTGGCGCGCGCGGCGTTTGAGGGCTTGTTACCCAGCAGTTTGGTTCGAGAGTGCCACTTCTGGCAGCCAATGACCGTATTTGCGAACGCGTTTCCCGTGCTCCGCAGTGCCTTGGCGACGCCTTCGTTCCTGGCGTTGAATCGGGGTGCGCAGACGGTCTTGATTCACTGTCTGCAGTCGCGGCCTTTTGCGGCGTTGTTGTCGCTTCTGTGCCACCCGTTATCGCCCATCTCGTTGGTCGCACCGCACGAAACTAGAGTGGAGGCGCGTTGCTTCGTACTCCCAGCTGCGCTCGCTCCCCCCGCCTGTCCCTGGCGCACACGCAGCGTCGCGCGCCACTCCTGGGCCAGCTGCGACGCCACTTCCTGCAGCCTCGGACTCGACGATTTGGTAGGTAGCGCAGAAGACTGCAACGCGCTTTTGCAAAAGCCGCTCGACGGACGCCGCGAGGTTCTCACACTTATGGATCCCCGACGCGTGCATGGGAGCGAACTGCTGCAACGGCTGGACGAGTTGAGCAACCTCCGTTTCTGGACGTTGGGTGTGCCCGACCTGCTGCAGTTGCAGCGCGGCGTGGAACAACGCCTCAGTGCGCGACTCGCGGCGGCCCTCGCCGGCGGTGGACTGAGCGAGGGCGAGTCCCCCGCGGCTGGTAAATGCCCGCTGTGTCTGGGCGCGTTCGCGCTCTACCGCTTCGTCGCCACTTCTCTCGCGGCTGTGCTCGATCCCCACGCAGAACAGGCTGTGGACATGGTTGAGGTGCCTGACCTGGGACTGAGCTTCCGTTCCGCGCGTCTGCTGGGCAAGGCGCAGTCCACCGACCCGAACCGGTTGTACTGCGACCAGCACAATGGCTTCTTCCTTTCCGCGCGTGAGCTAGGTCCTGACTCGCTGCTGGCGCGCACTGTGGGCAAATTGCGCCAACACTCGTTGCTGCTGGAGAGCGAGACTGGCGACTTGCAGTTGCTGGTCAGCGGCAAGACGCTGCCGTGGGTCGTGCAGCGCTCCTCCGCGTTGGTCCCACGGCCCCCGGTGACGGTGCCGTTCCTGCGCGAGTCGCTGGAGAGCGGGCTGGAGCAGTTGTTTCGTGCACAGACGTTAGTGCCCCACATGGTCTTCAAGGTGCATACGAGTCAGTGTTTCCTCTACTCGCCCGAGGGGCGTAGTCTGTTGGCGCTCTTTTTGCTGCGGTTGGCGGCAGGAGAATATGCGGCTGCGGCAGCGTTGTTGCAGAGCGGCGCTTTTCTGCAGCACGCGCGACGGGCACTCGCGGACGACATGAGTCGGTCGCTTTGGGCGGCGGTGAATGCGTGTGACGCGGCGCGCGACTTGTACCATCCGGACGGCGTGGGTTGCAGGTTGAAGTTTATGCTCGAGTTGGGCGCCTTTGGGAACCCTGCATTGGTAGGTGCGGCGGGCAGTGAGTCGGTGGTGGCGCAGTTGGCGAGTGAGTGGCGGAACGAGACGTTGCGACAGGTGCAAGCGGTGTTGGGTCCGTTGGAAAGTTTAGCGCGCAAAGTGGGTCGATTGGAGCAACTTGCCGACTGGGATGCAACCGACCTGTACGAGGCCTATAGTCGACATGTGCCGGTGGTGAGTGAGGTGTGTCGGCTGAGCATGGCTGAGGAGCGTTTCGTGGGGGACGCGCTGGAGCGTGCGGGTGTCGCACTGGGAGCACAGGCCAGTGTGCGTCGCGCGCTCACAGGAGCGAGTTGGACTGCGCGTGATCAGCCCGCACTCGCGCCGCCGCCGCTGCAACTTGCCACCGGCCGGCAGTTTATTCGCGCGGAGTGCGCCTTCGACCGCGTCGACCCGCAGGCCGCTGCGGATCGGAAGCTCTCGACGCGACTCGGTGACGGCTTCCTCGCGCTCCAGGGTCTGGTCATGGCCTACGTGCGTCCCACGCAGCCGCTGACGGGCGCGGCCGCGGTCAGCTATGTCTTGTTGTACTTAGTGGGACGCAGCGCGGCCTGGGCGGACTATTTGCCGGGCGCTACGGCGGCGGCAGGCAATCCATCGGAACTGAGTCTGGCGCGCGACTTTCTCTTTCTCTACGACTTCTTGACGCAGGGGCTTTCCTTCGGCGTCTTGACTGGCGAGAGCAGTTACCTGTGGGGCTCGCTCGTGGCCCGCATGGTCGCCAAGACGGACTTGGCGGTGCCTTCGCGGTTGGCGGGGGTGTTACGATTTCTGACGCTGAACGAGGAGTTTGCCACCAGCGTGGCGCCCAAGTACCGCCCTGTGGCGCCGGGCGAGCCGACGCCGCGAGGTTCGAAGGTGCAGGCCGTGACCGAGCGGCTGGGTGTGACGACGCGGTACGATGCCGCTTTCACGGCGCTGCTCGAGGCGCTGGACGCGCTCTTTGCGGGCGCGCTACCGCCTGCGGCGGCAGCGCCGCGGACGGCGGTGCCAGCGGCGTGCACA